CTGTCACTCAGCTGGGGTGAGTGACACACAGCTCCTTACATTCTTGACCTCCTGGACTCAGGTGATCCTCCCACCTCAGTCTCTGGGGCAGCTGGCATTATAGGCGTGAGCCACCATGCTTGCCTAATTTTTTGTATTTTTTTTAATAACAATAATGTTTTGCCATGTTCCTCAGGCTGACTGAACTCTTGAACTCAAATGATCCACGGTGCCCATCCTCTGAAATATTTATTAATTTTAAAAGTGAACTCTAACTGGGCGCAGTGGCTGACACCTGTAATCCCAGCACTTTGGGAGGCCAAGGTGGGCAGACCACAAGGTCAAGAGATCGAGACCATCCTGGCCAATGTGGTGAAACCCCGTCTCTGATAGAATTACAAAAATTATCTGGTCATGGTGATGTGTGCCTGGAATCCCAGCTACTCGGGAGGCAGAGGCAAGAGAATGGCTTAAACCCAGGAGGTGGAGGTTGCAGTGAGCTAAGATCTCACCGCTGCACTTCAGCTTGGCAACAGAGTGAGACTCCATCTCAAAAAAGAAAAAAAAAAAAAAAAGCAGATTACATGGCTGGGCACAGTGGCTGACACCTGTAATCCAAGCACTTTGGGAGGCTGAGGTGTGCAGATCACTTGAGGCCAGGAGTTTGAGACCAGCCTGAACAACATGGTGAAACTCCATCTCTACTGAATATACAAAAATTAGCCAGGCATAGTGACAGGCACTTGTAATGCTATATACTTGGCAGGCTGAGACAAGAGAATCACTTGAACCCAGTAGGTAGGGGTTGCAGTGAGCGGAGGTTGGGCCACTGCACTCCAGCCTGGGTGACAGAGGGAGACTCTGCCTCAAAGGAAAAAAAAATATTTTGTATAGGCACATACTTGATTTTGGAGATAGTTTCAGGCATAATGTCTCTTTACTTTTATTTATTTATTATTATTATTATTTTTGAGATGGAGTCTTGCTCTATCACCAGACTGGAGTGCAGTGGCACATCTCGGCTCATTGCAACCTCTACCTCCTGGGTTAAAGCGATTCTCTCACCTCAGCCTCCTAAGTAGCTGGGACTACAGGCGCGCACCACCACGCCCAGCAGATTTTTGTATTTATAGTAGAGATGGGGCTTCACCATTTTGGCCAGGATAGTCTCAATCTCTTGACCTCATGATCCACCCACCTCAGCCTCCCAAAGTGTTAGGATTACAGGCGTGAGCCATCTCGCCTGGCGGTCTCTTTACCTTTAAATTATTAGCATGTATTAAAGAACAAGAGCATTGCAGCCATAATGACAGAACAAGTATTACTCATACTGATAGGATAATATTATCTAGTATTCAGATTTTATCAATGGTCTGAATATTTTCCACTGTGGACAGTCCTCCTCCCCGATCAGGATCTGATGCAGGAATAGGTGTTGCATTTACTTGTCATGTCGCTCAGGTCTACTTGATCTGGAATGACCCCTTGGCCTTTCTGTCTTTCATGACGCTGACAGTTTTGAAGAGCTCAGGCTGGTGGTTTCTAGACAGAGTCGATTTTATTTATTTACTTATTTTATTTTATTTTTTGAGACAGAGTCTAGCTCTGTCACCCAGGCTGGAGTGCAGTGGCATAATCTTGGCTCACTGCAACCTCCACCTCCTGGGTTCAAGTGATTCTCTTGCCTCAGCCTCTCAGGTAGCTGGGATTACAGGCACCCGCCACAATGCCCAGCTAATTTTTGTATTTTTAGTAGATACGGGATTTCACCATGTTGATTAGGCTGGTCTCAAACTCCTGACCTCAGGTGATCACCTTGGCCTCTCAAAGTGTTGGGATTACAGGTGTGAGCCACCATGCTGGGCCCAGAGTCGATTTTAAGCATGTTCCTTTGGTGATGCTATTGCCCTCTCCGGTTAGAGAACCACCACATCAGAGGCATCTTCCTGTCTGAACCATTCTTTCTTGTTGCTCTCAGGGAGGCAGAAAGGTACAGCGGGGCTCACCTCACACTCATCTGGGTCTCCCACACTCAACCCCATGCCTGGCGCCCAGTAGACTTGGTTGTTATGCAGACCAGGGTTCCAGCCCATCTGTGCTACTGAGTGCATTGGGCAAGAACTTCACCTCTCTAGTATCAATTCTCCCATCTGTAAACCTTGGTGTGGGGGTGGAGGGTGGATGGGACTAGGTGGTCTTGAAAGGCACTTGAAACTTTGATTGTTGCCTCTCAAAAGGATCTCTTTCCTCTCACTCCAGGAGCTGGATTAAATGTCTTAGGCCTCCTAAGTCAGTGACTCATTCATCAAATACTTACGAATCGCCTGTGAGGCAGAACCTGGGACTTGATTTTCTTTATTTCTTTTTCTTTTTCTTTTTGAGACAGTCTTGCTCTGTCGCCCAGGCTGGAGTGCAGTGGCATGATCACAACTCACTGCAACCTCAAACTCTTGAGCTCAAGGGATTCTCCCACCTCAGCCTCCTAAGTGGCTGGGACTTCAGGTATGTACCACCACACCCAGCTAATATTTATTTATTTATTTATCTTTAGAGATGGAGGCTCTCACTGTGTTGCCCAGGCTGGTCTCTAACTCCTGGGCTCAAGAGATCCTCCCACTTCAGCTTTTCAAGTAGCTGGGATTAGAGATGTGGTCCACATTGCCCAGCTCATTCCAGTCTTCAATTTCATGGTCACATTGCTTTCTCCTCTTCTGAGTGTCAAATCTCCCTTGGTCTCCCTCTTGTGGGAATATATGTGATTGCTTTTAGAGCCCAGTCTGATTATTCCACACTTTCCTTAACTCATACACCTTAATTTAATCATATTTACAGCCGGGTGTGGTGGCTCATGCCTGTAATCCCAGCACTTCGGGAGGCCGAGGTGGGTGGATCACCTGAGGTTAGGAGTTTGAGACCACCCTGGCCAACATGGTGAAACCCTGTCTCAAAAAAAATTTTAAAAACTTATATTTGCAAATATTTGCCATGGAAGGAAACATGTATGGATTTTAGGGATTAGGACCTGATAGCTTTGGAGTCCATATTAAGCCTACTACAGCTAGTGAGAGCTATTAACGTTGGTTCCAAATAAACATATGAAAAAATACTCCTCATCACTAATCATCAGAGAAATGCAAATTAACATCATAATGAGATACCATCTTGTGCCAGTCAGAATAGCTATTAGTAAAAAGTAAAAATATAACAGATGTGGGCGAGGCTGTGGAAAAAAGGGAACACTCACACATTGTTTGTGGGAATGTAAATTCGTTCAGTCCCTGTGATCAAACCTGCACATGTACCCACTGAATCTGAAATTTAAAATAAATAAATAAAGTTGACTCTAGTGTCTTTTTTCCTTAAGTTGGTTCCAGTGTCTTTTTGCCCTTTTTCTTTTTTATCTTTTTTTTTTTTGAGACAGAGTTTCGCTCTTGTTACCCAGGCTGGAGTGCAATGGTGCGATTTCGGCTCACTGCAACCTCCGCCTCCTGGGTTCAGGCAATTCTCCTGCTTCAGCATCTTGAGTAGCTGGGATTACAGGCACGTGCCACCATGCCCAGCTAATTTTTTGTATTTTTAGTAGAGACGCGGTTTCACCATGTTGACCAGGATGGTCTCGATCTCTTGACCTCGTGATCCACCCGCCTTGGCCTCCCAAAGTACTGGGATTACAGGTGTGAGCCACTGCACCCGGCCCTACCTTTTTTCTTAATTTTTTTTTTTTTTTTTTCTGAGACAGAGTCTAGCTCTGTCGCCCACGCTGGAGTGTAGTGGCACGATTTCAGCTCACTGCAACCTCTGCCTCCCAGGTTCAAATGATTCTCCTGCCTCAACCTCCCACATAGCCGGGATTATAGGCATGTACCACCACACTGGCTAAGTTTTTATGTTTTTGGTAGAGACAAGTTTCACCACATTGGCCAGACTGGTCTCGAACTCCTGACCTTCAGTGATCCACTCACCTTGGCCTCCCAAAGTGCTGGGATTACAGGCGTGAGCCACCTTGCCTGGCCTAAAAATTTTTAAAAAGTGTGATAAAATACATATAACATAAAATTTACCCTATTAACTATTTTTAAGTTCAATGGCACTAAGTTTATTCACTTATGTATGAATAAACTTATGTAACCATCACCATCACCCATTTTATTTATTATTTTTAATTTTCTTAAGCCCATGACCTGCTGAAGCCATCACCCATTTTCATAACTCTTATCTTGCAAAAGTGAAGCTCTATACCTATTAGACAGTAGCTCCCCATTTCTTCTGACAACCAGCATTCTACTTTCTGTCTGTATGAATTTGACTGCTCAAGGTACCTTATATGTCTTAGTGTATTTGGTGTTGCTAAACAGAATACCTGAGACCAGATAATTTATTTTTAAAAGAAGTTTATTTAGCTTACAGTTCTGCAAGCTGGGAAGTTGAAGGGGCATAGTGCTGCATCTGCTTCACTTCTAGTGAGAACCTCATGCTGCACTCATGGCAGAAAGTGGAAGGGGAGTAGGCATGTGTAAAAAGATCACAAAGAAAAAGAGGAAGCAAGAGAGAGAAAAAACAAAAACCAATAAAGCCACACTCTTTTTTTGAGATGGAGTCTCGCTCTGTCGCCAGACTGGAGTGCAGTGGCATGATCTTGGCTCACTGTAACCTCTGCCTCCTGGGTTCAAGCGATTCTCCTGCATCAGCCTCCCAAGAAGCTGGTACTACAGGCGCCTACCACAACACCCAGCTAATTTTTGTATTTTTAGTAGAGACGGGTTTCACCATGTTGGCCAAGATAGTCTCTCTATCTCTTGACCTCATGATCCACCTGCCTCAGCCTCCCAAAGTGCTGGGATTATAGGTGTGTGTCACCTTGACCAGCAGAAGCTAGACTCCTTTTTTTTTTTTTTTTTTAATATTTAGGTTTTTATGGGACAAGGAAGATGATTTCATGTCTAAACACGGGAACAACTTAAATCATATTAATATTACAATCACTGCCTCTTCTAACGGAAATTCTAAATGAATGTTTGAATGGAAAAATAGTCCGTAATATTAGCTTTCAGAACATAGAAACATCTTAGAAAAACTGTGTGATACCAGTGGATGTATTTTTGAGGTAATATTTATATAATTAGGTACTCTCACAACCAATGGAAAGAAATACTGCTTTTTGGATATGTTCTACGTTAACTTTTAAAGAATTCTACATTGTTGTAAAATAAATTCAGTGCAGTGGAATGGCAGTTATGTAAATATATGTAAACTTTATGACTAGATTAACTTGAAAGCGTAGAGTGGTTACTAATTACGTGTTATTAATACAAATGTCAACAAAAAACGGTCCAACATGTGCAGGGGCACAGTAACAAAAATATAATTAACAATATCTTATTAGAGTAAACCATAGCATCATCAGGCTTAAAAAAAACGAAGTCATTGTTTTTTCGAACTCTTCTTTATAAATACAGTGGATAGCTCTGATAGTTACCCTTATTTACATTCCCTGTATACAAATTTGCTGATACTGAAAACTATTTTCAAACACATCATCATCAGATTACATGGATTATTATTACTGAAAACTCATCAAAGCTTTCAAGGCTATTAATGGTTTCATGCAAGTTAAAACTTCTAATTTTGAAAGTAACCAGCTAATGAATTTTTTCCTTTTATACAGCCACCATATACCAGTGTCATTATCAATATGTAAATATGGTATTTAACATGCTTATATATTTCTTAAGAGGTGGAATACAGACTTTACAATATATCTGAAACCTCATCAAATATTTTGATAATGCCTTTACAATACAACCTATGTGTGGCATTAAAAAAATAACTGACAGGTCATAGTACATTTTTCTGAACTTCATTTTAAATTTTCTAGATGCTAACATAAGAAATTTATTATTTTGACATGGTATATCGCAAGCATCTTTCATAAAGGTCTGAGTCTTTTCTTGTTGCGTCTTCCTAAACAATCCTGAAGTTCAGAGTGTTCTTTCAGGAGTTGATCATATTCTTTTGAAAGTCTCTCCGATTGCATCTTCATTGCCATCACATCATTTTGTGCCTTAGAAAGGGCATCTGAAGTCTTCCTTAATTCAGTTTTCAGTTTCTCCTGGTCTTCTACTAGTTTTTTATTTTCTGCTTCCCAAACACATTCTTCATTATTACCATGGCTTTTCAAAATCTGTTTTAGTTTTTCATTTTCTTCCAAAAATTTTTTGTCAGCCTTGTTAGTATTTTCTGCTTGAGTTTTAAGTACACCTTTGTTTAACAGTTCTTTTGCCAGTTGAGTAATAAGCGTAACCAGACATCTCAACACTAGCCAAAAAAAATAGAGAAAATCCAGAAATGTAAAGATTTCTTTGAGACCTAAAAAGTTTCATCTGTGTGTGTTCATATGCATCAGGTCTGCTGGTGGAACTCTTCCAAATGGTATGAACTGAGGAATATTTCCCTACTTCTCACACAGCATCTAGAAATAGAACAATCAATAGGACGATAATAGTAAGGAAAGGCTTTTTCCAAAAAGTTGCAATTTTACCCCAGACATTAAGTGAAAAAATCTTCTGCCATCTCTGAGGAGGAATAAAAGGTAAGCAGAAGATTAAAATGAGTCCTATTTCGGCATAAAGAAAGTTTGCCACTGCCGCCCATTGGAGTAAATCAATCCATTCCTGTAAGAGGAAGAACCCTTGGAAAGGGAGTCAGCTATTCATGAGGTATCTATCCCCATGACCCAGACACTTCCCACTAGGGTCTACCTTTCATCACCACTACATTGGGGAACAGATTTCAACATGAGTTTTGGTGGAGACAAACAATATACAAACCACAGCACTATGTTAGTGAAATATTATGTATCTTTCATTGCGTATTTTCTTTTACTTTTTCTTTTGAGACAAAGTTTAGCTCTTGTTGCCCACGCTGGAATGCAATGGCATGATGTCAGCACACCACAATCTCTGCCTCCCGGGTTCAAGTGATTCTCCTGTCTCAGTCTCCTGAATAACTGGGATCACAGGCATGTGCCACCATGTCCAGCTAATTTTGTATTTTTTGTAGAGACAGGGTTTCTCCATGTTGGTCAGGATGGCCTTGAACCCCTGACCTCAAGTGATCTGCCCACCTCGGCCTCCCAACCCAGCCTCATTTCATATTTTCAAGTGCATTTTTTTTAACGTATTTTCAAGTGCTGGGATTATAGGTTTGAGCCACCACACCCAGGCAATAGCAGTTTTTTTGATAGTAGTTATTCTTTTTATTTTTTTGAGATGGAGTTTTGCTCTTGTTGCCCAGGCCGGAGTGCAATGGCCGATCTCCACTCACCACAACCTCTGCCTACTGGGTTCAAGTGGTTCTCCTGCCTCAGCCTCCCGAGTGGCTGGAATTGATCACAGGCATGCACCACCACATCTGGCTAAGTTTTTGTATTTTTAGTAGAGATGGAGTTTCTCCATGTTGGTCCAGCTGGTCTCGAACTCCCAATCTCAGGTGATCTGCCTGCCTGGGACTCCCAAGTGCTGGGATTACAGGCGTGAGCCACCATCCCCAGTGCTGATAGTAGTTACTCTAACTGATGTAAGGTGGTATCCAATTATGGTTTTGATTTGCATTTCTCTGATTATTAGAGATGTCGAGCATCTTTTCATGTGTTAATTGGCATTTGTATGTCTTGTCTGGAGAAGTGTACATTCAACTCCTTTGCCCATTTTTGTTTTTTTGTTTGTCTTTTTTTTTTGAGATGGAATTTCACTCTTGTCACTCATGCTGGAGTACAGTGGCACCAATTTGGCTTACTATAACCTCCACCTCCCAGGTTCAAGTGATTCTCCTCCCTCAGCCTCCTGAGTAGTTGGGATTGCAGGCACCTGGCACCACACCTGGCTAATTTTTTATATTTTTAGTAGAGATGGGTTTTCACCATGTTGGCCAGGCTGGTCCTGAACTCCCGATCTCAGGTGATCCACCCACCTCAGCCTCCCAAAGTGCTAGAATTACAGGCATAGGCCACTGTGCCCGGCCTTTGCCCATTTTTGAATTGGATTATTTTTTCTTTGTTGTTGAGTTTGGGGAGTTACATATATAGTCTGGAAATCAATCTCCTATCAGGTATGTGTGTAAAATATTTTCTCATTCTGTGGTTTGCCTTTTTACTCTGTTGATAGCATCTTTTCATGCAATTTTTAAAAATTTTTGCAAAGTCCAATTTGTCAATTTTTTCTCCTATTGACTGTACCTTTACTGTCAGATCTAATAAGTCATTGCTAAATCCGATGTCATGAAGATTTTCTTTTGTTTTCTTATAAGAGTTTTATAGCTTAGCACTTATATTTAGGTCCTTGATTCATTTTGAGTTAATTTTTGTATATGTTTTAAGGTAAGGTTCCCAACTTCATTCTTCTGCATGTGAATATCCAGTTTTCCCAGCATCATTTGTTGAAAAGATTGTCCTTTCCCCTTTGAATCATATTATACCCTTATTGAAAATCATTTGAAGGTGGGCATGGTGGCGTATGCCTGTGATCCCAACACTTTTGGAGGCTGAGGTGGGCAGATTGCTTGAACTCAGGAATTTGAGACCAGCGTGGGCAACATGGCAAAGCTATTTTTGTATTTTTCTATAAAAAACACCAAATTTAAGAAAAACAAAATCATTGACCACAGGCACAAAGGTTTACTTGTGGGTTATCTATTCTGTTCCATTGATCTGTGTGTTTGTTATGCCAGTACCATACTTTTTTGATTATTGTAGCTCTGTAGTAAGTTTGAAAGCAGGAAGCAAGTCTTTCAATTTTGTTCCTTTTAAAGATTGTTTTGCCTATTCAGGATCCCTTGAAATTTCATATAAATTTTAGGGTGGGGCTTTTCTATTTTTACAAAAGACATAATTGGGATTTTGATAGATATTGCATAAAATTTGCAGATTGCTTTGAGTAGTATTGATATCGTGATGGCCACTTTTTTGTGATGGCCAGATAGCTGGTAAAACATTATTTCTGGATGGGTCTGTGAGGGTGTTTCCAGAAGAGATTAGCATTTGAGTCAGCAGATTTTTTTTTTTTGAGTCGGAGTTTCGCTGTTGTTACCCAGACTGGAGTGCAATGGCACGATCCCGGCTCACCGCAGTTTCCGCCTTCCAGGTTCAAGCAATTCTCCTGCCTTAGCCTCCCGAGTAGCTGGGACTACAGGCACGCACCACCATGCCCAGCTAATTTTTGTATTAGTAGAGACGGTGTTTCACTTTGTTGACCAGGATGGTCTCGATCTCTTGACCTTGTGATCCAACCGCCTCAGCCTCCCAAAGTGCTGGGATTACAGGCTTCAGCCACCACGCCTGGCCTGAGTCAGCAGATTGAATAAAGATTATCGGCCCTCACTAATCTGTGTAAGCATCCTGCAATCTGTTGAAGGCCTGAATAGAACAAAAAGATGAAGGAAAAGTATATTTCCTCTCTTTCTTTTCCCTCCTGGGTCTGGGACAACCATTATCTCCCTCTCTTAGACATTGGAGCTCTTGTTTCCTGGGCCATTAGATTGTAGGACCAGCAGGCTACCCCCTCTACCACCTCGAGTTCACAGGACTTCCTACCATGACTGAATTACACCATCAGCTTTTCTAGTTCCCCAGTTTGCAGACAGCATATTGTGGGACTTCTTGGCCCCCATAAGCAGGTAAGCTAATTCCTATGATAAAGATACTCAGATATCTATGCGTAGCCTATTGGTTCTATTTCTCTGGCTAATACAGACATCTTGCAATATTAAGTCTTGCAGTTCATGAACGCAGAAAGTCTTTCCATTCATTTGTGTTTTCTTTCATTTCTTTCAGCAAGGTGTTTGTAGTTTTGATTGTACAAATCTTCCACCTTCTTGGTTAATTTAATTCCTATATATTTATTCTTTTTGATGCTCTTGTAACTGGAATTGTTTTCTTAATTTTCTTTTCAGACTGTTCATTGTTAGTGTATAGAAATGCAACTGACTTTTGCATGTTGATTTTTTGTCCTATTTCTTTTCTGAATTTTTTATTAGTTCTAACATTTTTTCAAGGACTCAAAGTTTTATATGTATGTATTGTCATCTATGGAAAAGGGTAATTTACTTATACCTTTACAACTTGAATGCCCTTTATTACTTTTTCTCGCTTAATTGCTCTGGCAAATTGGGGAAAGAAAAGTATCTTCAACAAATGGGGGTAGGGGCTAGGCTGGATGGCTCACACCTGTAATCCCAGCACTCTGGAAGGCCCAGGCGGATGGATCACTTGAGGTCAGGAGTTTGAGACCAGCTTGGTCAACATGGCGAAACCCCATGTAAATAAAAAAATTAGCCGGTGTGGTAGCACGTGCCTGTAATCACAGCTACTCGGGAGACTGAGGTGGCAGAATTGCTTGAACTCAGGAGACCAAGGTTGCAGTGAGCTGAGATGGTGCCACTACACTCCAGCCTGGGCGACAGAGTGAGACTCTGTCTCAATTAAAAAAAAAAAAAATATATATATATATATATATAAAATAGGCCAGACACATTGGCTCATGCCTGTAATCGTAGCACTTTGGGAGCTGAGGTGAGTGGATCACGAGGTCAGGAGATTGAGACCATCTGGGCTAGCATGATAAGACTCTGTGTCTACTAAATATACAAAAAGTTAGCCAGCTGTAGTAGCATGTGTCTATAGTCACAGTTACTTGGGAAGCTGAGGCAGGAGAATTGCTTGAACCTAGGAAGTGGAGGTTGCAGTAAGAGTGAGTGCAGTGCAGTGAGATTGCGCCACTGCACTGCAGCCTGGGTGACAGAGTGAGACTCTGTCTCTAAATAAATACATAGAAATAAAAAAAAAAAATAAAACAAATGGAAGTAGGACAATGACTTTCCACATTAAAAAAATGAAATTTGTATATTTTTATAAAAATTATATATAAAAAAATGAATTCAAAGTCGATTAAGGACTTAGATATAAGAGCTAAAATCAAAATTCTTAGATGAAAACATAGAAATAAGTCTTCATGACCTTGGATATGCCTATTTTTTTAACTATAACACAAAAGCCAAGCAGTGAAATATTAATAAATCAGACTTCATCAATATTAAAAACTTTTGAGCATCCCAGGGAATTATTTTTATCTATCTACCTAACTATCTATCTATCTGTCTATCTTTTTTTTAGACAGAGTCTCACTATGTTGCCCAGGCTGGAGTGCAGTAGCCCGATCTCAGCTCACTGCAACCTCCACCTCCCAGGTTCAAGTCAGTCTCCTGCCTCAGCCTCCCAAGTACCTGGGACTACAGGCGGCAATTATTTTTTATTTGTTATCAGATTTTTGAGACAGAGTTTCGTTTTTGTTGTCCAGGCTGGAGTGCAATGGCTCAATCTAGGATCACCTACACCTCTGCCTCTGGGATTCAAATGATTCTCCTGCCTCAGCCTCCTGAATAGCTGGGGCTACAGGCATGCACCATCTGCCTGGCTATTTTTTTTTTTTTTTTGTATTTTTAGTAGAGATGGGTTTCTCCATGTTAGTCAGGCTGGTCTTGAACTCCCGACCTCAGGTAATTCACCCACCTCGGCCTCCCAAAGTGCCGAGGTGTGAGCCATCAGGCCCGGCCTCATCCCAGGGAATTATTAAGAAAGTGAAACTACAACCTTCATAATGAAAGAATATATTTGCAAATAATGTATCTGATAAGGTTTAGTATCCAGAATGTATAAAGAACTCTTACAACTCAATGGCAAGAAGGCAAACAACTGGTTGGGAGTGGTGGCTCACACCTGTAATCTCAGCACTTTGGGAAGCCGAGGCCGGTGGATCACCTGAGGTTAGGAGTTCAAGACTAGCCTGGCCAACATGGTGAAACCCTGTCTTAAAAAAAAAAAAAAAGGCAAACAACTCAATTAAAAATGGACATTGAATAGACATGTCTCCAACACATGGCCAACTAGCACATGAAAAGATGTTCAATGTTGTTATCATTAGGAAAACGTGTGTTAAAACCACAATTGTCTGGGCATAGTAGCTTACACCTGTAATCCTAGCACTTTGGGAGGCTGAGGTGGGAGGATCACTTGAGCCCAGGAGTTTGAGATCAGCCTGGGCAACATGATGAGACCCAGTCTCTACCAAAAATACAAAAATTAGCAGGGTATGGTGGCATGCACCTGTCATCCCAACTACTCAGGAGGCTGAGGTGGGAGAATCACCTGAGTCCAGTAGGTCAAAACTGTAGTGGGCTGTGATGGCAATACTGCACTCCAGCCTAAGCTACAGGGTGAGACCCTGTCTCATAAACAAAAACAAAAACAAAAAAACAGAAGAATACAAAAACCATAATGAGGTGCCACTTCACGTCCAAATTGACGGTAGGAATATAAAACGGACCAGCTACTATGGTAAACCAGTGGTTCTTCAAAAAGATAAATGTCAATTATCATTAGATCCAGCAATTCATTCCTGGGTTTATGCTCAAAATAATTGAAAACAGATGTTCAAATAAATGCTTATACATGAATTTTCTTTTCTTTTTTTTTGAGACAGAGTTTTGCTCTTGTTGCCCAGGCTGGAGTGCAATGGTGTAATCTTGGCTCACTGCAACCTCCTCCTCCCGGGTTCAAGTG